TACAAAGCCTAATAAAGTGAAGACAAAACTGCCGAATGTTTAAAAATATATATATATATATATATATTTATGTTAATAATTTTCTAAGTCACTATTGAATTTCTAAATTCTTATAAATTTTATTTTCTATCTAAGATAAAAAACATATGAATTAGTTTTATCATATCAGTTATTATATAATAAATATATATAATTTGTCAGTTAAGACTTTTCTGGTTTTTTTTTAATTAATATTGCTTCGTGGTTTTACAGACTTTGACATAATTCAATTTTCAATTTTATTTACCAATTAAGTATAATTAAAAATTTTATGTCTATCATTTTTGCATAATAATAAATGTCGTAATATAATTGCATGCCATTTTTGGTATTTCAAAATTATCATTATTCTCTGTATATTCTAAAAGGATTGATCCTCAAATTTAATTATAGTAAACAATGTCAATTACTCCAAATATTATCATAATGTTGTTGAATTAAATTTAATTGAATATCTTACAATATATTTATAATTATATTATTTTTAACATTTAATATTATAGATAATTATGTTCTTTATTTATTTATATTACTTAAATGTCATAGTTTATTTATAATTTTAATACAATATAATCATATTTATTATATCTATGATCTCATAATATAATTATAATTATGATATTTATCCCATCATCTAAATTTTATTTTATATTACAATACAATCATAATTACGATTATTGCATCATAATTATAATCATGATATTTTTATTATTACTTTTCTTATCACAACATGATCATAATTATGATGTTTTATCATTATTGCATTATAATCATTATCATGATATTTTTATTATTACTTTTTTTATCACAACACGATTATAATTATGATGTTTTATCATTATTGCATCATAATTATTATCATGATATTTTTATTATTACTTTTTCTTATCACAATATGATCATAATTACGATGTTTTATCATTATTGCATCATAATCATTATCATAATATTTTTATTATTACTTTTTCTTATTACAATATGATCATAATTATGATGTTTTATTATTATTGCATCATAATCATTATCATGATATTTTTATTACTTTTTTTATTACAACATAATCATAATTACAATATTTTTTATTTTTTATGTAATAGTAATTTAATTACAATTTCACTATCTATATCATTGTTGGATTTCGTTCTCTTGTATTTACACCTCAGATCACATTTTACAGGTTCAAGCCAATCAAAAATGTTTAAACTCACCAACCCAGATTTAAATAATATAGATAGATACCGTATTCCTCCGAAAATAAGCACCCCTTTTTTGCATTTAATGTTGGTCAAGATAGTTATAATTCAGGCCAAATTTTTTATAATGCAGGCCAGGGGTGCTTATTTTCAGGGAGTGCTTATTTTCGGAGGAATACGGTATGTATGGTATTAGTTCAATCTCACAGTCACCACCAAATGTGAAAAGCGTATTTATTGGGTACAAGACCAAAACTAACTAAACTATTTAACCAATATACTAAAAAATATCTAACAAGGCTCTAAAACTTCCAAAACCCTCAAAGTAGTAGGCCAAAAGAAGTGTGGAGAGACTTGGTATGAGTTTTGAGGCTTCTGAGGTCTTATAGCAGTTGCTACAGCACAATTGGTAACTTGGATAAGTAACTCTACCTATCTAATGAGTATTCTTATATTCATAGTCTTAATTCAACACTAATTATCTCTATAGTTTTTATGAATATACTGACTGCAGCTATTGGGCCTAATGATCTTCATGTGTCATGTTACGAGAAAATTACATTGATCGATCGATTAATTGTTAGACTAATTTGCTCTAACAATAGATCATGGGGTAATCAAGAGAATATAAGATTGAAATAATATGAATAATATTCTTTTTAATTCTCTCTAATTTAATAATGACTTCTATACTAATATTGGGATAGTGTAAGTGTAAATAGTAACTTTTTGGGTACGAAAATTAGAAACAAAAGGAAAAGCGATTTCGAGTCACTACTTCTACTCAAATTTTGAAGCTTTTGAACTCAAACTCCACTGAGTTATCTCTTTATTAAAGGTCAAGTTGAGCTGCTTATATATTGTTTAATTATATAGAGAAAATTTTACTAATCGAAAAAATTTTATCTATTTATTTTTCTTTAATTCTACCTCTCACACTATATTAGTCGATCTGTACTATTTTTAAAATTTACCTGATTTTCTGAGTTACAAAATTTACAAAATTGTGCTACGCTATTACCGTGAGAGGTAATTTCACAGATTGTAGGATCGATTTTCCAGTTATATGCTTTTTGACTCTTTATCCCATCATATTAGAATGCAGGTATGCAATTTATATTACTTAATAACAAATTGTATTACAATAAACAAAAAAGCTTTTATTTGATAATATGCAAATATACTACAATGCTAATACACTTAATACAAATAGTTAAGACAAAAAAAGAGTTCATAGCTTTGACTCTTGCTAAGTAGAAACATACCATTGCCTGTTTTGAGCTACTTCAATGTCATTAATAATTGTAAAAGCATGGCCTAAGTTATTAACAACCGCTTCTACATGTTGTAAATTATTATCCTTCAATTCTGTATTTAAATACTCAACTAATTGGTTTAATAAAGCAATTTTAGATTCTATTTCTTGATGCTGGTTTACACTGTGAATATCTTCATCACAAGAATTTTCAACAGAAGTTGGATTATATAGTATTAAATTAGATACTTTTCAATTATATTTTTAGCTCCATTTTCATCCCAAATTAAAAATAGATATTCAGTTTGTCATTTAAAGTTAGAATAAACTAACCGAATATCTTGTAATTCTGTTTTCTTTATATTTTCTAATGCCATTTGGATCAGATGCTTGCAAGTTAAAAAATGGCTATTAAGAAAATAATGACAACTACACACCCAGTATTTTAAATTGATGAAATAACAGTTAGTAATGTCTTCATTAATAGATTTTTCAGCAAGATTTTTCCACTCTCTCTTAAACTTATCAAACCATGATGGATGTGATCTACCAAGAAAAATCTGCTAAAGGCATGTAATTTGATCAGGTAGTACTTTAATGCAAATAATCCAAATAAGATAATCAAGTCTTGGGTGATTGAATTGATAAAGATAGTTGTTCTTTAAGAGGTCTCAATTATCATGTTTGTTTTACCCAAAGGTATTGTTTTTTGTGTAGAGCAAGCCCAGAGGCACTATCTGGAAGGTTTGTACCAGACATATCACAAATATGCCCAAAGTAATACAAGATTGTTCATTTTGCAAAATTCATATACCTCACGTACTGCTATTAACCTTATTTCTTCTGAAGATAGAAATTGACTATCTGCACTAGTTGGAATTTTGGGGAGCATATTAAAATGCTTTTTAACAAGATCAATAATATATTATATAGATTAAATAGACAGATAACATAATATTCTTTATTCTCACGTCATAGATCAGGCTTAAATGAAGAATCAACAAATGAAAATTCATTTATAACTTCTTTATATTGGTAATCAGATTATTTTATTTTATTTCTACTTTTAATTTTTTTTTTAAGGGCTTTTTCAATATGCTATAAGCACAGTTGTATATTACATGCTGGATATATCTTTTTTATAGCATTATTTCAGCAAAGTCTTTATCTATATAGAAGTATATTGGATGCAGACCTTTGTTGTAAAGAGCTTTAAAAAAACTCTCAAGAGCTTTGGTTTGCAATTTTTCTTGAGTATTATCACCTATCTTTGTCATGTCTAAGATAAAGTAAGCTAGAGAAAAACCTGTATCTATATAAAAACAATATTTTTTTAATAATAAATTACAAATTTTTATACTTTAATTTTAGAAATATTTAAAAAAAAAAAGCACCTTCAAAATTTCCAACAAGACCATAAAGCTCAAAATGCCCTTTGGCAGTTTTGTATGTAGCATCACAGTGTATCTCTGTTGAATTTTGCAATGAAGCAAACAAGGGAGTTATAAAACCAAGTGCTGTAATGTTACTAGTTTCTAACTGAAGACATAGGGTATAATTATTTTTTTGCTGTTTTCAATAAAATTATATGTAGAAATGACATAGTTCTTTTCACTTTTATAAAATTTTTGCGCATAGTATGACCACCAATAGTGAATTTGTTTGGAGATAATTGCAGAAATATCAAATTTCTTTCAGAGATGTGAACGTAAGTGTACTGGATCCATATTTAAATTTTCCATAATCTCTTGCTTTATCTCTGGAGGTGTTGCGATGTCAACAGACTTTTCATGTATTAACTCATGCTTCAATACCACTCTAACTTTCGCAGCTGGAATGTCAATATTGATTGTTAATTTGCCCCCGCAATCAAAACGGTCGATTCTTTTGCGATTCAAATCTTTGTATTCTCACCCAAGCTCAGTATTTTGTGAACATACAAAATATGCATTACCGACACCTTCATGACGGGATGAAATATTTGGTGCAGTAGTTGCCCTACAATTGCAAATATGTATCAGAATTTAGAAAAGTTTAAGAAAAAATTTAGTTTAAAGGCAAGTATGTTTTGCATTTGGGCTACCGCCAATAGTAATCAGGCAGATTAACATTATTCTTGCTCAGATCAACTTTATTGATAGAGATACATATGGGAGTAGTGTGACGCTGCAGCTCTTGGCGCCAAAACATAACTACAACCTTATCGAGTGTCACGTGATAGTCACATGACGAAGACAAAGGAGGATCGAAATTTGGGCATGTACATAATACATATTTCCTACTTATCCTGCTTCTTCCGCCTCTCTTTTCTACTTCTTCAGTTTTCTTCACTTCATTTTTTCAGCCTCTTCTATTTTCTCAGTTTCGTCTGTTTCTTCGGCAATCCCAGTCCGTTTGCTTCTTCTACTTCTTCTTTAGTTTTTTTGTTCCTTCAGATTTCTTTTTGCTTCTTCACCCTTCTATTTCTTTTACCATTTTCACTCCTGCTCTATCCACTACTTACCCTATCCTCCTCATTCCGTTTGACCCACCGGTACATGCTCATTTTCGATCCATTCTTTTGCCCTATTTTACTCAATTTATAATTCCCCTTTTAAATAATATGTAGGAGCCCAAGCTATAGTGCGGCACATTTTACCTGCTACAATACATATAAATTTATATTTCCTTTTTTCTTAAGGCAGCAAATACAAGCCCATGCTATGTGGTGCGGTGCATTCTACTTTGCTACATACATCTACTCTCTTTTAAGGCAGCAAGTACGAGCCCACGCTATAGTGCGGCACATTCTACTTGCTACATCTATTTTTCTCTAAGGCAGCAAGTACGGGCCCACGCTATAGTGCGACGCATTCTACTTGCTACACAGACGCATGATGGTAAACGAGGTGCTTCTTTCTCATCTTATTTCTTTTTTATCTTATTTAATACTCTTTTTTTTTTCTTTTTTTTTTTTTTGAACATTGATTTGCCAAGGCCAGATTTGATTTTCTTAGGGTGGGCAGTGGGCGGGCAGCGAAGGAAAAATGCACTGCCGATCACAACAATCCATCTAATCCTTAAATACCATTTCAGGTTACACGAATCAAATGGGTTATCCTCGCGATAATAACCCTAGCATGACTATCGTCAACGCATAGAGCTATTATTCTCGCTCGGATCAACTTTATTGATGGAGATACATATGAGAGAAAAAAGAGCATCGTGGGAGGATAGTGTATCTTTTGACGGGCTGCTCTTGCAAGGTACAATGGTTTATACGCGTAAGTTTTCTTTCTTCTTTTTTTTTTTTTTTCTTGATACAAAATCATCATTAAATGGAACTCCATCAAATTCATCGAAATTTCTGTCGCGATTTCCCCAAGACTATAAATATCTGATGCTTTGGTATATGGTTGACCCTTCAAAGTCTCAGGTGTGACATATGGCAGGATTCCATAAATCTTTCCTTTCTTTACTCTTTTTTTTTTTTTTTTGGGGGGGGAGCCCAAGATCAGTAATACATGCATCATGCAAGCTATCTGCTTGCAAAATGTTTTCACTGTATAAATCTCAGTGAACGAATTTCTGCAGATAAATTGACTCAAGGTCCAAAGCTATACATTTGGGGGCAATCTCCATTACAATAATATAATCACCATTATTACTTTCTGACCCTCCATAACAATTCAAGAATGAAGGGTAACCAATTTCGATATCTCTTTTTGTACCAGCACCGTTTTGATAACATTTCCCATCAGCTATTTACCGCAGAAGTGTTACCAAGTCAGCCGATTTCTTATGGTATTTAAACGCTTATTTCTACTCCAATACTATCTTCATAACAAAAACCAACAGCATACAATTTTCTAATTCAGCTGCTTTCATATAATATTCAAAGGCCTTCTTTTTATCCTTCTTAGCACCAATACCATCATGATAACAAACACCAACGGCATATATCGCATCTGAATTTTCTAATTTAGCTGCCTTCATATAATATTTAAATTCTTCTTTCCGTCTTTCTTAAGACCAATACCATCTTTATTGCGAACACCAACAGCATATATCGCATCCGAATTTCAACTCGGCTGCTTTTATATAATATTTAAAGGCCTTCTTTTTGTCTCTCCTAACATCAATACCATCATGATAACAAAGACCAACAGCATATATCGCATCTGAATTTTCTAACTCAGCTACTTTCATATAATATTCAAAAGACGTTTATTCCTACTCCAATACCATCTTCATAACAAAAACCAACAGCATACATCGCATTTGAATTTCCTAATTCAGCTGCTTTTATATAATATTCAAAGGCCTTCTGTTCATCTTTCTTAGCACCAATACCATCTTTATTGCGAACACCAACAGCATATATCGCATCCGAATTTCGACTCGGCTGCTTTCATATAATATTCAAAGGCCTTCTTTTTGTCTTTCTTAACATCAATACCATCATGTTAACAAAGACCAACAGCATATATCACATCCGAATTTTCTAACTCAGCTACTTTCACATAGTATTCGAAAGATGCTTATTCCTACTCCAATACCATCTTCGTAACAAAAAACCAACAGCATACGTCACATTTGAATTTCCTAATTCAGTTGCTTTCATATAATATTCAAAGGCCTTCTGTTCATTTTTCTTAGCACCAATACCATCTTTATTGCAAACACCAACAGCATATATCACATCCAAATTTCAACTTGGCTGCTTTCATAAAATATTCAAAGGCCTTCTTTTTGTCTTTCTTAACATCAATACCATAATGATAACGAAGACCACAGCATATATCGCATCTGAATTTCCTAACTCAGCTACTTTCATATAATGTTCGAAAGACGCTTATTCCTACTCCAATACCATCTTCATAACAAAAACCAACAGTATACATCGTATTTGAATTTCCTAATTCAGCTGCTTTCATAATATATGTAAAGGCCTTCTGTTCATCTTTCTTAGCACCAATACCATCGCGATAACAAACACCAACAGCATATATCGCATCCAAATTTCAACTCAGCTGCTTTTATATAATATTCAAAGGCCTTCTTCTCGTCTTTCTAAATATCAATACCATATGATAACAAAAACCAACAGCATATATCGCATCCGAATTTCCTAACTTAGCTGCTTTCATATAATATTCGAAAGCCTTCTTTTTATCTTTCTTAACACCAATATCCTTCGTAACAAAGACCGACCTCATAAATCGCAACCAAATTTCCTAACTTTGGTGTTTTCGTATAATATTCAAAAGCATTCTTTTCATATTTTTAACACCAATACCATGTCGGTTATTGTAACCGAGTGAATGAAGTTGTTTAGAGTCCATCTTCATGAAGCAATTTCTGCTATTTGCGCTTCGTTTTGATAATGGTTTTCAAATTTGGACATTTGGAAATAACGGATATGAGGCAAGCAATTGTAATGTGGTTTTTAAGACAACAAAATCAGTTACTTCCATTTGTAAACCGTATCTAAGCCACTATTTTTTACAAGTTGTTTTGACACATTTGTTGTGCTTGGCCTGTTTGTTTTTCTTCTGTTTGTTCCTAACCGGCCAATAGAGGTTTGTCGCATTTGTTTTATTTTTCTTTTGTTTTTCTTACAGTACTGTCTATTGAAAGGGGAGGCGCCATACTCGAAAGAGCCAGATCTAAATTGGGCAGCGAAGGAAAAATGCACTGCCGATCACAACAATCCATCTAATCCTTAAATACCATTTCAGGTTATACAGATCAAATGGGTGATCCTCGCGATAATAACCCTAGCGTGACTATCGTCAATGCATAGGGCTATTTAGAAAAATTAATACCTTAGCTATTACAGCTCATATTTCGATGAATTCCAATTTATCAAAATAAGAGCTGTAATAGTAAGGTATTAATTTTTCTAAATGTTAATCTGCCTGATTTCTATTGATGGCAGACCACTTAAAATTTACTTACATCCATTTGAATTCGTCCCTTCCTCAATTTCATCAACAATCAGTTTGGCCATTACTCTAACATCTGTGCCGATGGTGTTAAAGGTAGCTTCATCAAGCTTAACACAAAAAGTAGAAGAAAGTGTAGTATCATATTCTAATCTACCAATTTCATCTAAAATGTGATCACTAATTTCATTAATCAAAATTATTTCAATGGGGGTTTCTTCACTGGCAGCTTTTTTAGAATTTTTTTTTCAGCTCTACTAGTCATACAGCTAGCACACGTCTTATTTAATTTGTTATCATATATGAATGCTTCAGGGGGAAGCTTTCGATAGCAAGAGCTGCAGGTATTCATTAGTTTTGAATAATTTTTTTTTTTGAAGATAAGTTTTTTAAAAGTCTTGGTTAAATTATTTACTTTGAGCTTATTATTATTACATTACATTTGCGTAATTGATTGTTGACAAGAAGTATAAAGTGCGTCATTTAGTAAATGATGCACTTTATACTTCTTGTCAATGATCAATTACGCAAATGAACGGTAATTTATAAAGAATGAAGCAATAATTATTTAATTTATTCGATTAATTATTGATAAACTTTGAGAAGTATCTTGAATTATCTATTTAACTATATTGTTAATTTATTTGATAACTTATTTGATTCAACTATCATGATTAGGATTATGTAATTTAACTATCTAAATACAATTTGTGAACGAACCATATATCGTGCAAATAATATAATCATAAGGACTAAGCATTCGTAATACCAATATTGGGGTTTAACCGAATCAATAAAATCATAAAGTTCGCAATACATGATTTATTTAATTTGGAATTATCATTTTTGGCAACTTCGCGATTCAAAGAGTTTTTCATCATTAAAGCGATGAAATATCCTTGAAATCGCATAAGTCTAGATACTCGAATTCAGTTCACTTAACATTGAATCGCGAATTATTTGATTTTAGTTTGTTTATACTTCAATTAAAAGAAACTTTGATGAAAATTTGGTTAATTGGCCGATTGGTCGTGTGGACGTCGGAGCTATGCGATCTAGATCGGAAAGTCATGTGACCGGAAAATCGATCCTACGCCCTGCAATGATTTTCGATACGTAACACAACTTAATACAAATCTACACAAAAAAATTGTCAATCATGCCATGCTATATATTAATGTAGAAAGGATTTGTGCACAGAATCAAGGCGTTTGTTTAGTTTGTAAATAAATTTTTAATGTGACATAAAAAATCTTTTCAAGGTTTTAATTGTAAAAATAGATTTAATATTTATGACAGCTTCTGTAAAATCTTCAAGTTCCAAAATTAAAAATGTCGAATTTATCCAGGACATGACTTTATGACCAAGATTATGTCAAAATTAAAATCAGTTTGGGTATCTGCTCAATTTCGACTGAAATGGATGGCAAAGTTAAAAAAGTGATTACCATATTATTTTTATTTAATAATAATTATATTAAATTTTTGAATAAATAATTTATATTGTGGAGTTCAAATCTCTTAATTTCATTAATTTACCGAATCGAGAGGAAAAATTAGACGATATACAGTAAGTATTACAAGACTTTTCCGGTGAATTTTAGTTAATTTAGGTGTTACTTTTTTTGACTTCAATCCATTATCTTATTGTGCGATCTTTATTGGTAAAAATGAACTTGAATGGTTTTATAAATGTGACTGATTCGGGAGTTATGCATCTTGCGCGTGCTAAGAGGTTAGCTTTAAACAATGAAATTTCGTTTTCATTAATTATCCGTACTTTATTCCGGCATTATTCTTCTTGGTATTTTATGTCATTCAATTTGTATGATTATTATTTTCAAATTTACGGCCATCGATAATCTTTATACATATAAATAAAATATATAGATTTGGAAATTTTAAATTATATCTGGATAGAACCTAGACGGTATAGTATCCATAATACATATTAATACAACCTTTTTACTGCCATATGAAAGTTCCATTAATATCCATATAAAAATTTTTTTAATAAGACCTACACGAACTTCCCGCATTAATTAAATAAGACGCGTGTCAAGAATGCATCATTGTCTACAATACGCGTGTTATTGATAAAGGTGTAAGAAAGTTAAAAGGTAACTATCTTTTCTATAAATATAAAACAATTACTGTATAATGATTTTCATCTATAATCAATATTATTTTTATGTAAGCTTACTGTATTTGTTTTCTTGAATTTGGATTTCACTCAAGCACAAGTATCTAAGTGATGCCTTGAGAATTTTATGACACATAATTTTAAACAATAATTATGTTCTTTAGTTATTTCTTCACTTAACCAGTTCGGCTTAATATTATGATATTTAAAAAAAGTCCTAAATTAAAATTTGTGATTATGCTAACAATGTATTTAATAAAGTTTTGAGCTTTAAAATCGATATTCAAGACTTTAAGTGGCCCTCTATAAATAAATTACGTGCAGTAGTTATAATCGTATTTAAAAATACTTGTACGTAGCAAGCATCTCTTCTGTCTTTATAAATAAAATTTGATAAGCTTACTATCATATGATAAGATTTTTTTTTTTACAGGGTAATTTCCAAAAAAAAACAAGGTTAGAATGCAACAGAACTGAAAGCATTAAGCTATGTTGGCCAATCAAGTCTATAACAAAATTACGTATCAGCTGCTCATTTTTCTTAATTAATGGGTTACGGCTTCAATAATAAAATTTTAGGTTTGTTACACTAAATACAAATATGCATGCAGACAAATATAAAAATTTTCAAAATTACTTTGTTGATACGATAATATAAGTCAACTAATCAAAAACGTATTTTATAGATGTAACTTTTGTACCACTTTGACTAAACATTAAATGACATCCGCCGCACTCCTGACAATTAAAATTTTCATTTATTTAGGCGTGGATTTCTTTAAAAAAAAATGGACTCTGAACAATTTTGCAAACTTGGTTACAATTATCAACATGGTATCTGTGGTGAGAAAGACGAAAAGAAGGCTTTTGAATATTATATGAGAGCAGCTGAGTTAGGAAATCCAGTTGCGATGCACAATGTTGGTCTTTGTTATAGTAAAGGAATTGGAGTAGAGATAAATTACCAGAAATCATTTGAATATCATAAGAAATCTGCTGATTTAGGTTGTGCTGAGGCAATGTGTAGTGTTGGTGTTCGTTACGAATTTGGGGAAGGGGTTGGTAAAGATTATAATAAAGCATTTGAATACTATCAAAAATCTGCTAATACGGGACGTAGTAAATCGGCAATGTATATTGTTGCTGCATGTTACCGAAACGGTACTGGTACAACAAAGAGAGATATTCAGAAGGCAAATTATTGGTTCACAAAATACAGAAGTATTTTGAAAACTAATAAATCACCAGATAATATTAATCCTGAACTTAAGAGAATACTAGATGATGAAAGATTTAAATTATCTTGGATTGATTATAATGATTTCAGAAATATCGAAGAAGAGGGAAAGGGAGGATTCGCAACTGTATATAGTGCGACTTGGTTCGATAAAATTAATGGTATGTGGTGGGGTGTTGCACTTAAAGTGATTCGTGATTCAAACGTAAATTTGCAAGAATTTATTCAAGAATTGAAGAATTACTGTGAAATTTGTTACAAGAATCCTTCATTCTTAAATTGTTTTGGAGTATCAAGAAATAATTCTGGCGATTATATAATTGTTATGAAGATTGCACCAAAAGGTTCGTTACGACAAAATCTTGTACAGGTATCACAATTAGAATGGAAAGATAAATTGAACATTTTGTACTGTATAGCTTTGGATCTCGAGTCTATTCATTCACAGGAACTTGTTCATAGAGATTTGCACAGCGGAAACATTTTGCAAGAATATTTGCAAGACGCATACATCACTAATCTTGGACTTTCTAAAAAGGTAAAGGAAGGAAAAATTTGTGGAATTCTGCCATATATAGCACCTGAAGCGTTGATGGGTCAGCCGTATACTCAAGCGTCAGATATTTACAGCCTTGGAGTTATCATGACAGAGATTTCGATCGGACAAAGAGCATTTGATGGAATTCCGTTTCATGGTGATCTTGTATCAAGAATTATTGAAGGATCTAGACCCAAATGTTTAGGACCTGATTGTTATATTAAATTAGCTATGAAATGCATGGATAAAGATTTTGATAAAAGACCCACTGCAGCAGAAATTATTGAAATAATCACAATTTGGTTAAATGAAATGGATCAGGAAGATGATAATGAATTAAAAAAACAATTTTTGAAAGCCAATAAGACTATACCAGAGTCAGTCAAACAAATACATTCCCAAGACGTTTATACTAGCAAACAATATGATACACAAAAATTTTCGATAAGTACAATTGATATTTCGAGCGAATTCTCAAAATTAGATTTAAATTAAATTATATAAAATATGTGTTTTTGTAATATGCTCTTAGGTAGGTATAGCTATAGAATTTCTTCTTAGTTTTCAAAAATTCCTACGATATTTAATCCAATTATATTACAATAATATTTTATTTCCATTCAATCTATAATTTCAGATTATTATTTTATCTTTTTGGTGGTTTGTCTCTTAAGAGCAGTTAAAGATCTAACGTTCTAAATGTTCTTAAGTATATTTAAAAAAAATT